TACCACATAGTTTGACAGAACATGCCATATCATAACATGTTTCTGCAGCCTCGAACATAGCAACGCATATCATCACACATTGTGATATTTGCGGGCATTGCAGGTCATACGATCAGATAGCACATACATGAAGAGGATCACCACGCTACATTACCGTAAGGGCTTCGCCCCATGTCGCCGGCCCCCTGTCTCGGATAATGGGAGATGCAAAAGCTAAATCATGAGGTCTGGGCGCCGCCGTGAAGCAGTGTCGGGACCTGTTTCTTTTTCGATCCTGATCCTACGGCTCTGCGTGAGGGGTGCCACAGAATTTCAGAAATGTCGCAAATCCCCTGTGCTTTTGGATCCGGACCCTATGGATCTGCGTGAGGGGTGCCGCCGAATTTCAAAAATGTAGCAGATCCCTCATGTTTTTGGACCCTGACACTTTCGATCCGCGTGAGGGGTGCCACCGGATTTCAGAAATGTGGCAAATCCCCTGTGCTTTTGGATCCGGACCCTATGGATCTGCGTGAGGGGTGCCGCCGAATTTCAAAAATGTAGCAGATCCCTCATGTTTTTGGACCCTGACACTTTCGATCCGCGTGAGGGGTGCCACCGGATTTCAGAAATGTCGCAAATCCCCTGTGCTTTTGGATCCGGACCCTATGGATCTGCGTGAGGGGTGCCGCCGAATTTCAAAAATGTAGCAGATCCCTCATGTTTTTGGACCCTGACACTTTCGATCCGCGTGAGGGGTGCCACCGGATTTCAGAAATCTGGCAAATCCCCTGTGCTTTTGGACCCTGACCCCGCCGATCTGCGTGAGGGGTGTTAGTAAATTTTAACAATGTGGTGCCCTGACACTGTCGATCCGCGTGAGGGGTGCCACCGGATTTCAGAAGTGTAGCAAATACCCTGTGTTTTTGCACGCTGACAGCGCCGATCTGCGTGAGGGGTGCCACGGAATTTCAGAAATCTGGCAAATCCCCTGTGTTTTTGGACCCTGACCCCGCCGATCTGCGTGAAGGGTGAAAATTTTTACCCACCCCAGCAATTCAGACAAAACGTGTAGGGCGTTTTCAAAATGCCCATTTTGGGCCTCCCCCCCTCGCGCGGTCCATCAACAAGGAACGGCAAGCAGCAAGAAACAGAGCTCTAACAGTGGAAACTGGAAGCTGCAACTGGTACAGGAAACTGCGAAGCTTTGGCCTACAGCCTGGTGGCCCCACAAGGGGGCCGGCGGATACCGTGGGCGCGCGCCAGGTCAAAGACGACGTGCGCGCCGAGGTCAAGTTGGCCACAGGAACCAACAGGCGCAGCAACGACCGATTGGACGCCGTATCGTGACAGGCGTCACGCTGTCTCGCCAGCCCGTCGAGAACAGAACAGGACATACTACATTATACGTTATGATAACAGTACCACATGTTATATCGTTGAGAATAGATACTGTTATGCAAACATCGACAGCTCTTATGATAAAGATCACGACAGACTAGGACATTTCACAACAGAGCAGACCAGACCATGGTATATCTTTATTGCATCGCCCATCATGGAAACAGCAGCGGTGATTATAGCATTGTGTTCCACAGTTTGAGAAAGTGTCCTGTCATAGCACGGTGCCGCAGAGCAGAGAATAGCATTTCGTATCACGTCATCACAACATAACATCTTTGAACAGAGTAAAGCAATAGCTGAGACGAGCTCCTGCTCCTCCTGCTGCTGCTGCTCCTCCTCCTTCTCGTTAAAACGGCTGCTGGTTATCTCCGAACAAGTGTTGGGGTCTCGTGTCGAGCGATTTTGCTGTTGCTTTTGTTCGCCCAAGGGTTTTTGGGGTTTCTTTCGTCCGCGGCTCTGGGAGTGCTAGAATCAGGAGGGAAAAAACACACAGACACAGTTCTTCGTCAATTATCGAGAAAAGATGGGGAAATATGCGGAGTGGGGGGGGGGCAGACGAACATCCAAAAAACAAAAGAAGATATGAGAAATATGGGTATTTGTGTGTATTTCTTTGTGTGTCCCTAGGCCCCTTTCATAGAATTGAGGACGGCGGCAACTTGCGACCTGGCCCGACCGCCGCGCTGGCCGAGACCGCCGGGCTCCGCGCGCACCGTTCCAGTAGGCGCGCGCACCGTCGGGAACAGTCGCAGAAAGTTTCGGCGGACATCACTCGAAGCACAACACTTTCGATGACTCGGGGGCCGCCTTGAATGAAGCAAATCCATTTGAGAGGCAGTAGGGCCAGTTTTGGCTCATGTGAGGCCACCACGAAGACTCCTGACACCTCGCGATGCCCCGCGTCCAGATCCCAGGGCAGGGATCGAGGGATGCCCACAATCCCTTGAAGGTGATCAAGCGGGTCGGGAGAGAGAGAGAGAGAGAGAGAGAGAGAGTCCCTTGCGCCACATGCGCCCAGAGGGCCGGCAGGATATTGCATTGCACGATGATCTGCGTCTTGCTGCGGGAGCAGACGCGCTCGCGCCCCAAACCTCTGGACGAGTCCCACTCCCTCGAGCGCCGTCGGCTGGCGGGGCTCCGGAAGCCCGAGGCGTCCACGGCCGGGGGCGTTCGCCGCCCGCGCGCGGGGGCGGCTAAGGGGAGCGGGCGTTCGCAGGCCTAGAGGTTGACACCAGCACCAATTTCGGAGGTGTGCCTCCACCGAGGCAAGAGGATCCGGATCTCGGTGATGGTGGTAATGTTTCGGCTTCAAGGTGACCGAAATATTACCACCAACACGGAAATCGAGGATCATCTTCCCCTTGTGGAGGCAAGCCCCTATGTTGGTGTTGGTGCCAATTTCCCGGCCTCCAAGGCGTTGCCTTCAAGGCCAGGCCCGTGGCCAGGCAGGCCCCTGGGCGCGAGTGCTCTCCGCGGGTGCGGATCGGGGACGGGAGGCGTCCTGGGGCCTCCGCCCCGAACACCGGAGGCAGAGCGCAGGCGATCCAGGCGTGCCCACAGCGATGCGATCGTGCGCGCGTGCGGCGTGCGAGCCAAGAGGCTCGTGCCATCCACGCGGTCGTGCGCGGGTGCAACCTGCGGCAGGGCACTCCGTTCTGCTGTGCAGGTGCAACCTGCACAGCAGAATTACGTGCAGGAGCGTTGGCTTCGCGTGGCGCTCCGCCGGTTCTGCCCCGCCACGCCGCGGCGCGACGCGCCATCCACGCTTCTGTCCCCCGCACGCGCACGCCCCACTGCTTTCCCAGTTTCCCGCCCCGCCGAGCGGAGCAACTCGCTGTCTGCTTGCAGGGCATAACGTATCGCCGGGGCCGCCGCGGCGACACTCTAGGCGAAAAGCTACCGACCGTAAGCATGTACGCTCTGGCGCCTCTGACGTGCAGCCAGCGTAACAGTCGAGCGAGTGCATGCGGGGCGGCCTTCCACGGCTGAATCGAAGCACCCGAACGAAGAGCAAGAGACGGAGAGGCGGATCGTTTGAGGCAGGCGCGCTGCTCTAGGCAAGCTGCGGTTGCCAGGTATGTGGGGGGCGTGGGCGAGACATTCCGTCATCGCTTCCGCGTCATTCCACATGAGTCACCCCGAAATCCACATGTCCTCCCGTTGACTCTCGTCATCCTTCTGTCCCTTGGCCTCTCGTTCCCCCGTGCTCCCATCGCCCGTACTGCCCAAAATGCGCCTTGGATTGCTCGGTTGACGCTCGGACTATACACGCGTGTTCGAGTTCGATATGTGGCAAGGGTTGGCCCTCTGTTTCCTTCATTAAAAGGTGGGTGGTGTAATTTTCAGAGCGCGCATTCTTGGGCACCGCTATCATTGCTGCCAGCGTTGGGCCCCTTAAGAATATTTTCCGCCGGCCCTCGCGAGATGGCGGCTTCATTTTCGCCGGGCCTATGAATGCATATCGTTCGCAAAATTGACGGTCACTGGGATGTGCGTCATATAGGTGCTCTTCGATTGTGCAGCAACCGCGCTCGCGCATGGAGCGTATTCCGCGTCTGTTCACATTCGCCTGCTTGGAGAATTACCACACGCTTTGATCAGCATACTTGCGCCGTTCTCATCTTTTCACCATCATCCTCATGATCGCGTGATCGTCTTCACCATCACCATCCCCATCACCATCATCATTCTCATATTCATTCGACTCACCATTATCACTGGCGACCCTGAGATGGTGCATGATTCTCGCCGGCGTTCGGGCGACGTATTTTTTCGCTAGCCTGAAGATTAGGCCCTGGGATACTTTTCGCCAGCGTGGCACCCCCCACGACGGTTGCCCCCCCACGTTTACACAAGGGAAAGAGAGTTCGGGGGTTGCTAGAAGTGCCCCTGGCCCAAGGTGCCCCCAGGAGTTCCAAGGAGGCTCCCACGGCCTCAAGAGCACCCCTCACGAGGTCCAGAGGGCCTCAGGGGCTCCAAAATGGAGCGACAAACTGGGGGCACATTGGGCCAGGGGCACTTCCAGCAACACTCGACGAGTATACTCGCATTTCCCATTGATATTCACACACAGGAGCATGCGATGGTGAACTCACACAGGGACAGCTCGACCGGGACGACGCGCACGCACGGACTCGTCGATCTTCACGTCGTGTACGGCCGTGTGCAATCAGACGTACCGGCTTTTGAGCGCATGTCCATACGTAAGCAAATTGCACTGACCATAATTTGCGCCAGACGCCCGATTCATCATGGCGCCAACATCGCAGAGCGGATCTGGTTGGGAAGAGATAGAGTGGGCCCGGAGTGTCCTGGAGAGTTTCGTTCCGGATTTCGAGGTGAACTTCGTGCGGATTTTTTTGGCCAGGAATGAAGATTAAACGAAAATCCACGCGAAATTCATGTGTTTTTTTTCACTCGCCGTTTCGGGGATTTGCGTTGACAGAAATCCATGCAAAAATCCGCGGCAGCACGTCTGCAAGGTCGGTGCAGTGTCGATTTAGATCAACTAGTCTATGTCAACTCGATGGAACGTCCAACGGTTGTATATGCCGATGCCCTTACATGTGAAGTGGACCAAGTAGGAGCATCCGATCGCACATGCACCCCAAACGAAGGACCACTTCAAGCCCTGCGGCCCCATCGCCCACGCGGACGTCAAGGGCAAGGAGTCCGGGAAGAGGCGGGACTCGTACCCGAGCGTCGGAGAGATCCGCATGAGCACAGCGCAGGAGGCAGAGAAGGCCTTGCAGCTGCTGAACGGCAGCCAGCTGATGGGCTCTACCATCGAGGTGAAACTTCACAGCGGCTCCACGGATGCCACCAAGCTGCAGATCTCGGGTATCCCTGCTGGCGCGGCCTGGCAGGAGCTGAAGGACCATTTTGCGTCTTGCGGCACCGTGCTCCATTCCGAGACAACGCCCATCATTCCAGGGCAGGAGGTCACTGGCGAGGTGCGCTTCGAGGATGCTCAGCACGCTCAGCTGGCACTGAAGACGCTGAACGGCAGCATGATCGGTTCATCGCAGATCTTTGTCGCGCTGGACAGGGGGTCCACAGACGGTACCAAGATTATTGTGACGGGCCTCAGCCCCGCTACCGGATGGCAGGAGCTTAAGGACCACTTCAATTCCATGGGGACCATAGCCTTCGCCGACGTCCACAAAGCGAAGGGCAAGGGTGGCAAGCTTAGCTGACCTGATCCGCCCGCGTTGAAACGCAGTACGTTATAACCGTGTTCAAAACATCCGTGTTGACACGCTGCATGTTGGATCGGCAAGTGTTGGCCCATGTCTTGCGCGAAAGTATCGCGCCAGGCCTAGGTGTTCAGTCTACGTGTTGAGCTCCGAGTCAACACGCTGCGTGATGCGTGCCGCGTATTGGGGCAGCTAAGGTGGCAAGGGCAAGGGCGGCTGGGACTCCTGGGGCGCCAAGGGCGGCGGCAAGGGCGCCTGGGGTGCCGGCGGTGCCGCCTTTGGCGGCGCTGCCTGCGGAGGCAAGGGCGCGGGCGCTGCTGCTTGGGGCGGCAAGAGCGCCGGCTTCGGCGCCGCCGCCGCCGCTGGCGGCCAGGCCTTCCCCAGGGTGCCGGGCGCGCTCACGGGCACCGTCCGGTACGAGACGCCGCAGGCCTTTTTAGTTTCTTTGATACGCCCGTTTTGAAACGCAACGCGTATCGTGTTCGAAACGTCCGTGCTAGCACGTTGCGTGTTGGTTCAGTGTCATGGCCCACGTCTTGGCGTGCATATCGCGCCATATCTAGGTTTTTAGTATACGTGTTGAGCTCCGTGTCAACACGCTACGGGTTGCGTGTTGCGCACGGGGGGGCTATGCGCAGGCCGCTCAAATGGCCGTGGCGCAGATGAACGGCGGCTTCCTCAATGGCGGGCAGATCACTGTGGACATGGACTGGAACTCCGCGGACGGCACCAAGCTTTGGGTGGGCGGCATCCCCCCTGGGACAGGCTGGCAGGAGCTCAAGGATATATTCTCGCAGTGCGGGCCCCTGGCCTACGCCAACGTCAACACGGGCAAGGGGAAGAATTGAGCGGGCTGGCAGTTGGAGGCGGGAAGTTGGCGGATGGAGGCAGAGGCACGAGTATGTTGATGATGATGATGATGCTGATGATGATGATGCTGATGATGATGATGATGATGATGATGATGCTGCTGCTGATGATGATGATGATGATGATGATGATGGTGATGGTGATGGTGATGGTAATGCTGATGATGATGATGATGATGATGATGATGATGATGATGATGATGATGATGATGATGGTGATGGTGATGGTGATGGTGATGGTGATGGTGATGATGATGATGATGATGATGATGCTGATGATAATGATACTGATGATGATGATGATGAGGAGGAGGAGGAGGAGGAGGAGGAAGCGGAAGCATGCGGACTGAGGAGGACAAGGAGGACGACGACGACCGCGACGACGCGCAGGACAATGAGGAGAACGAAGAGGAGAGGGCGGCAGGAGCAGAGGAAGGCGGGAGCGGTGGGGGAGGAGGGAGGCGGGACGAAGGAGGAGGGGCGAGGGGCGAGGGGAGGGAGGGAGGGAGGGAGGAGGCAGCGAGGAGGAGGAGGGGGAGGAGGAGGAGAGGAGGAGGGAGGAGGAGGAGAGGGGAGGAGGGGGGGAGGAGGACGGGCCGTATGCAGAACTGCTCGCAGGCCAGGCCAGGCCAGGCGGGAGCCGCGGGCGGCCCCCGCGCCCTCGGGTGCAGCCGGGCGTGGCCGGCTGCGGGGAGGGCGCGCCCGGCGGACGCGCTCCCCACCGGCGGCGCGCGGGGGGGGGCGCTCCTCCGCCTGCGGCTCGGGCGAGCGCTGCGCATCTGCTGCCGCCGCCGCCTGCTCCTCCTGCTCCTCCTCCGCCTGCTCGTCGTCCGCCTGCTCGTCCTCCGCCTCGTCGTCCTGCTCCTCCTCCTCCTCCTCCTCCTTCTCCTCCTCCTCCTCCTCCTCCTCCTTCTCCTCCTCCTCCGCCTGCTCGTCCTCCGCCTGCTCGTCCTCCGCCTCCTCGTCCTCATCCTTGTCGCCCTCCCCCTCCTGCTCATCTTTCTCGTCATTACTGCCCTCCTCTGCTCCGTCATCCTCCTGGTCCTCGTCCCCCGCCTCATCCTCCTCTTGTCGGTGAGTCGACTTCCCAGACAGAGGCACGAGGCCGAGTCTTGTTGGACATTTGTCGGGTCAGTTTGCCAGAACTCGGGCTGGCCGCAGATTCTCGGACGGCCCTGTCGCGATTGGGGCGGTGCAGGTTTCGTGGGATGTTTGCAGCGGGAGTTGGCCAAACAATTCAGACTAGGTCCCGCAATTTTTCCGACGGCCCCCTGAGGCCTTTCAAGAGGCATGCAGAGACCCTTTTCGAGATCCTGGCGCAGTGGTGCTGCCCCGCAGGTTGTCGCGCCGTCTCGGCCCCCCCCCCCATGGGGGAGGCCTTCTGGCCCCGCGCGGTGTACTCTGCAGGCCAGCCGGGTCTCCCCGAGATGGTTGGGGGCACTTTCGGCATCCTCTTGCGGGCAAGGTGTGCATGTCAGATGCGTCTTGGATTTTCTCGGGAGGGGCGCCACAGGGCCGAGGCGCCCTGGATGTGGATGCGAGCCGAGCCTCCTCATGGGGCAGATTTCCGTTCGTATCCAGTGCGCCTCGGGTGTCTGGGAGGGGAGCCTGAAGCTCCAAGCTGCAGTAGATATGGGCAGAAGTGTTTCCCACACCCCTTTTCCGACGCAGGCATATTCGGCGTCTTCGTTACTCAGGAAGGAAAATAACACACAGACACAATTAATCGTCGATTCCTGAGAAATATGGAAAAATATGGGAAGTGGGGGGAAGACAAAAACCCAGAAGATATGAGAAAGTATTGGGAGTTATCTTATTTGTGTGTGTTAATTTGTGTGGCCTCGGGCCCCTTCAATTACAGTCGTCGCTCTCGGCTCCTCGGGGCCCTCGCTGGGCCACGGGACCGCACACGGACGACTCGGGATGACACGTCGGTCCAGAGGGAGTGGTCGCGAGGTCGGGGGGGGGGCGGCATGTCTCCATGCGGGACTGGAAAATGACCACAGCCATTGCTTCATGTTTACGCCGCCTTCCAGCCGGCCGAAAAAGAAGCAGTGGTTGTGATCATTTCCCTGGTGCCAAGCTTAACGAAAATGACCACACCCACTGCTTTGTTTCTGCTGGCTGGAAGGCGGCAACAAAAGAAAAGCAGTGGCTGTGGTCGTTTTCCCGTCCCCTACTCCACACATCGAGACGCCGCATGTCTCGGAGACGTCCCTCCTTCACCGCAGCAGCTCGTCTGGCAGCGTCGTGTACGATGTGGCTCTTTGGGCAGCCTGCCTCTTGGCATTCTGTGCAGGGTTGCTGAGAAGCCAGTCTGTGCGCTGCTGGATCCGGAGTCGGTCGGGCGAGCTGGTCTCCCGCGGCCTCCCGCGGTCTCCCGTGGCTTCCCGTGGCCTCCCCTCGCTGCCTCCCGTGGCTGGCCTCCCTCGGCCGTCCTCTTTGCACCTTTTCCCGTACCCCCTGGCCAATATATCCCTATCTGTATCCCCATCGCCACCTTCAGATCCCAGCGTTTCTGTGTTTCCAGATCGTTGGCCCCGCAGCCACATCCCCGCCCATGTCCAAGTCCCGAGCCCCGCATCGTGGCCCCCCGTCGTGGCCCCCGACCGTGCCTGTTCAAAGCCGCGTGGCGTCTTCCGCCGCACGGGTGTCATCGATCAGAGTCGCGCGCAGAGGGAGGGTAGGGTTAAGTCGGACATGTCCCCCTGCAGGAGGAATGTTCAGGCATTGCCACACAATAGTATGGGGACGGTTGTTCGACAATGTTTGACTGCGGTTGAACATGTCTGACTGTCTTTGATTGTTTCTTCCAAGTCCGCCTGTAGAAGGACATGCCCGACCGAAGGGTAGGGGGGAGAAGGCTTCTTGGAAGCACCCCTGCTTCTCATAAGCCGCGGGCCTTATAGTAGGGCCAGCGCCTCCTGAGAAGCAGCCTCGATCCTCCGAAGGAGCCTTCCCTCCTCCCCCATACCCCCGTGTTCGCGCCGCCAAGTAGAGCTGTTTGGTGTCTTCCGCCGCACGGGTGCCAGTTAAGAATCCAGCAGCTGTGTCGCCGGAAACGTCATCGGTCTGGGGGCGTTGCCTCCCGCTGTCCCCCGAGACCTCCCGTGGTCCCCCCCCCGTGGCCTCACGGGGTAGCTCCATGCCGTCCCGATCCTCATTTCATGCCCCTATCCCTGTAGGCCTATCCTTGCCTTATGTGTCGCCGCGCCGTTTGTTCCGACGCGCGGCCTTCCGTCTTTGAGAGGGCGCCTCGGCCACCAGGGCGAGTTCCCCCTCGGACGCACGGCCTGCCGTGGGTTTACCGTGATGTCGGTGTCGAACGGCGCGGCGACGCAGACCTTTCCCGAGGCTCCCATCATTGCACCCAATCGCGACCCCTCATCATGGTCTCCACCGTGACCGTGTACAGATTTTTCAGGTCTGCTGTTTTTTGTGTGACGTTGATCGCATTGCCGAGATCTTGCAGTCGGGGCCCTGAAGAAGGAACCCTTTTGGTTGGGGAGGGGCTCCGCGTTCCTTAAGTGTTTCACAGCTTGCCTCAGGTTTCCCTTATGCTTTCGATCGGAAATCGAAGTTTAACTTATGGAAAAAAGGGGCCTCGTTCCTTATTTTGAGTTCCTTGGATCATCGCCCCGACTGTAGCCCCTCAGGACTGGCAACTACATCCGCGTCCGCGCCCTCGCGGTCTGGATCCCGCGGGCGCGATCCCGCGGACATGTGGTTGCACGGATACGCTCTGCGCGGGGCATCCGCGAACAAGCGCCCCGCATCCGCAGAGTCGTGGCCTTCGAGTCCGCGGATACGGCTACCTTGTTCGTCCACGATTTCCCCCGGGTTCGTCTTGGGGTGCTTTTCAATTGCCCCCGGGCCGGGAACGGCGCCGAGTGCCGTACGATAGCTTTTGTTGCGCCGCCTGGATCGGAGGGGGGACGGGCAGAAGGAGGAGGAGGAGGAGGAGGAAGCAGAGGAGGAAGCAGAGGAGGAGGAGAGGAGGAGGAGGGAGGAGGAGGAGGATGGAAGAAGAGAGGTGGAGGGAGGAGGAAGGAGGAGGAGGAGGAGGGAGGAGGAGGGAGGAGGAGAGGAGGAGGAGGAGGAGAGGGAGGAGGAAGCAGGAGGAGGAGAGGAGGAGGAGGAGGAGAGAGGAGAGGGAGAGGAGGGGAAGCAGAGGAGGAGGAGGAGGAGGAGGAGGAGGAGGAGGAGGAGGGGGAGGAGGAGGAGGAAGAGGTTGACGCGACGTCTCCTGCCAGCTAACGTTTGCCCAACGCAATGAACAATCGTCGCGACCTTGGCGCCCTCGCGCGCGCTCTCTTGCGGCGGCGGGGCCTCCCCTGGACCTCCGTGGCCGCTTCTTCGAGGGGGCGGCGACGACGACGACGACGACGGCGACGACGACGACGACGACGACGACGACGACGACGGCGACGGCGACGACGACGACGGCGACTGCTTCGGCGACGGCGACGGCGACGGCCACGGCGATGACGGCGGCGACGGCGACGACGCCGGCGACGGCGACGGCGACGGCGACGGCGACGGCGACGACGACGGCGACGGCGACGTCGCGAGAAGGGCCCGGGCCCAGCAGGTGCTCCCGCACGTGGGGGCGGACGCCGCCCGCGGGTGCGAGGCCCACCTGGGCGCCTTTGCGCGGAGGGGCCTCCGGACGCTCTGCTTCGCGACCAGGCCGGGCGTTGCGCAATGGGTTGGAGGTGCCCTCCTCCTCCTCCTCCTCCTCCTCCTCCTCCTCCTCCTCCTCCTGGCTCCTCCTCCTCCTCCTCCTCCTCCTCCTGCCTCCTCCTCCTCTCCTCCTCCTCCTCCTCCTCCTCCTCCTTCTTCTCCTCCTCCTCCTCTGCGTGAAGAGACCTCCTACCCTGACACGTTGATTCAGGAATCGGCCGTTGTCGGCTCGCGAGAGGGCGTCGCGGCCGTCATCCTTGCGGGTCCAGGTGCGTCGGCTTCGGTCCCTGGCCGTCTTCATCCAGGGGAGGTTTGCGAAAGGAGGAAGGTTTGTCCACCGCCGAATGGGAGGGTGCGCGGCTCTCCTCCCCCCCTTCCCCCCCCCCCCCTTTCCAGACCCCCTCCCCTCCCCCCCCCCCTCCCCCCCTCCCTCTCCCCCTCCCCCCCCCCTTTCTCCCCCCTCCCCCCCCCCCCCTTTCCGCACCCCCGACGCCATGTGTTTCTGTTCACGCCGGCCAGCGTGGGCCCCCAAAACGGCGTGTCTCTGGCCGTCTGCGCGGCGCCTCCCGTGTGGAGCAGTCTGCGTGGTGCAATCTGTGTGGAGCAATCTGCGTGGCGCAATGCATCTTAGGTAGATCGCACCGCACACACACACACACACACTCACACACACACATATACATGGATATTGCTCCGCATAGATCTATCGAATGGCTTTCGGCCAATGCCGCCATCGTGCCTGGTTTGTGGGTCAGAGTTCTCAGGGATGCTTCGTGGGGTCTCTTCGGAGCGCTCTCGGGGGCCCCTGGGGGGCAGTTGTGGGGCCTCTTGGGGGCCTCTTGGGGACCTCTTGGGGACCTCTTGGGGTTCTCTTGGGGCCTCTAGGGGGCCTCTTAAAGTCTGTCGGGGGGCCCTTGCAGGCCTCTTGGCGCCTCCTGGGGGGCTCTCGGGGCCGAGAACTCGAAATATCCGCTCGGGTTCCCCATCTGGCCCCCTCTTGGAGCCGTCTTTGGAGCCTCTTGGGCAGACTTGGGCGCCTACTGGGGCCTCCTGGGGGCCCTCTTGGGCCGTTCGGGGCCGCGATCTTGGAGGTCTCCAGGGCCGTCTGGGAAGCCGAAAAGGAGAGAAGGTCAAAAGCCTTCAACAACACATGGAGAATCTATGCTGTTGGCCTTTTGTGGTCCTTTTGGGGGGCCTCTTGGAAGCCTCTTGAGGCGTCTTGGAGGCCTCTTGGGCCGTCTGGGGGCCATCTTGATCGTCTTGGAGCGATCGTTCGGCGACTCGGGGCCCTCTTGGACCGTCTTCGGGGCCTCTTGGGGCCCTCTTCTCCAGTACTGGGGCCCTTTTGGAGCCGAAGGTGTCATGCGGGAAGCCGCGAGGAACTCCAGGGGAAGCGCGCCAAACCCAAGGAGATTTGTGAATTCGAGGTCCGGGCCCCTTAAGAACCTTCATGATCGAGGACAGGGTCAGGGGATTTATCAAAGGACCTGTGGACACGCCCACTCCGTGCCCAGCGGAACAGCGGTGGACGTGGTGCACTTTATTTTGTGTTATCTACGATGTCGTCTATGTTGTGCAATCTGTGTGGTGCAAGCTATGTGGCGCAATATATGTAGTGCGATCTATTTGGAGCAGTCTGCGTGGTGCAGTATACGTGGTGAAGCCCATGTGCTGCAACATATGCTGTGCAATCGTTCTGTGGTGCCATCTATGTTGTGCAAGATATGCGTTGCAATTGCTGTCGCGCAATCTACGCATTGCAATTCATGTGGTGCAATCTACGTGGTGCAACCTATGTTGTGCAATCTGTGTGGTGCAAGTCACTGGTGGAACTCGCAGTTGTCAACTGCATTGCTCGCGGAATCATCCGATGCACCCACAACTTGTTTTGCAAAACGCAGGTGGTTGCGGTGGCGGTTGCTGGTGCATCTCTGCGGCCGCGCTAGCCCGCGCATGCTCGCGCGCGCAGCGGCCAGTTTGTTTGGCGCGACTGGCGCGGCCGCGGTGGCGCTGACCTCTGGGCACTGCCCAGCGGGCGCGTCAGTGCGAGTCCGCCACTTTGGCGGGCGCGGTATCATGGCAACGTGGGCAACAGTAGACATGATGATGATAGTAGCGACGCTGGTGACGATGATGACAACGGCGACGGCACGGCCAATGACGGCGCCAATGCTGATCACGCCGGAGACGATAACGGCATCTTCGCGTTGGTGATGAAGGTTATCGGAACAGTTCGACAGGCGCGCACGGCCGACGCGCGAAAGGGACCCGCATGGTATTATGTGACACGGATCGTGCCCTCCAGCACGCGCGCAAAAAGGCGTTCGAATGATGTGAACATGCGGCGCGGAAAAAGGCCCGTCTTGCAGGATTTGATAACAAAGAATGTTGAACACCGACGGCTTGCTCGGGAACCTGAAAAGGTGCGAGCGCCCCTTTTTTTCTGGAGAGCGAATTTGATGTTGCAAGACCGTGTGTGGTTTATCTGGTTTCGGGGCAATTGTTTTTGAAATCGCTGCGATACATAAGGGTTTTGGAATATTTCGGCATGCGCGCGCGACGACGCGCGCGTGTGCACTTCGCCCCATTCGTTTCAAGGGGTTCTTGCAACAGCACGCGCGCAAAGGGCGTTCGACCGATTTCGACACCCTTTCGCAAGAGGCCCTTTTGGTAGCATTGTATGGAATTGTTGAACACATGTTTTTAAATAGAAGTACCAAAACGCAAGAGCGCAGGCGCATTTTTTTGGGGAAACCCTTGTTGCGAAACCAATCATCTTTATGCTGTGTCCTGATTCGATTTTGAAGCATTTTTGAAGCATTACTTTTTTGGGATCCTCACGAACACGTTATTTGTTGAAGCAATCCGGCATGCGCGCGACGACGCGCGCGTGTGCATGTTTTCCGTCTGCTGTACAGTTCTTCCCTTTGAAAACGGAAGATTTGTGATGAACGAGTGCGCGCGTATTTTTCCAGAGGATAAAAGGGGGTGCCGAAGTCCGGCGTGCTTGGGATGATGCGAGTTCGCTTTTAGGATGGACGGTGGGGCAGAGCCATATGTAAATTGCGTACGGAAAAGTGTACCGTTAAGTCCGGAAGGAGGATCTTAATTTTGAAAGGAGAGTATACATGGTGCAATCTAGTTCGCGCAATCTGGGGACCATCTATGTGGTGCAATCTTCGTTGTTCAATATATGTGCAACCCAGGTGGAGCAAAGTATGTGCTGTGTGGTGTACTAAAGGTTGTGCAGCTTATGTTGTGCATTCTACGCGCAATCCATGCGGTGACGGCGGCAACATAGTCGCCAGACCGACAGACATGCCCAGACGACGGGCGTCGAACAGGCGGAGATGTGGCGGCGACGGCGGCAACATAGCCTCCAGACAGACAGACGACGGGCGCGACGAGACGGCGACGGGGTGGCAACGGTGGCTACATAGCCGCCAAGCCGACAGACAGGCCCAGTTCCTGAGAAGAGAAGAAGCAACCCCGAAGTGCAAGCACTCCTTGGGGCAATGTCGACCCCCAAGGGTCTGGACCCGTTCCACAGGACCTGCTGTTCATCCTGAATAGCTCTTGACGTTGCCGAGTCCCGGTGAGGGCCCCGAGAGGCTGGCGCACAACCCTCCATCGTGTTTGTTTCATGGCTCGAGGGGGTCTGGCAAGGGGCGCCCTGGGCGCCTCCCCCCAAAAAACGAAAAGTGTGCGATACACGTCCCTCCCACCCGCCACTGACTCATCCCCCCCCCCTTTACGCAACGCCCGACCAGGGAGCTGGGCGCCGCCGAGCTGGAGGCCTGGCGCGGGGCGTACGCGGCCGCGAAGGCCCCCTGGGGGCCCCGGGAGCCACGAGGCAGCCCGTTGCGCTGCCGCGCAATTCCGCCACCGGACTCGGGCAGCCGGCCCTGACTCCGGATCCGCCCTACTTTGGGGAAAATCGTAAGTAGGGCTTGGAATTTCCGCCTTACTTTTCAAGCCCCACTGATGCCAATTTCCGCCCTACTTTTCTGTTGTTGTTTCCGCCCTACTTCTGTGGATGTTCGCCCTATTTTATGTTGGGTGCAGAAATCTCCGCCCTACTTTTGCGGCTCCTTATAGGTGGATTTCCGACGCCATTTTAAGTTGGAAAAATGCCAAAGCAGGGCGGATCTGGAGTCAGGGGGGGGGGGGGGGCTCTGGGAGGGGGGGCACGGGCCCCCGTTCCCCCAGGCTGTTGCATGTTGGGAGCTCTGCCTGCGTGGGTGGCCACAGCCGCAGAGACTCTTGGCCACGAAAGCCAACGCGCGCCGTGGGCTCGAGGCGTGGGGGGGTCCCCCCACTGCGGATTCGCGCAAAAAGGGCGAAGGGCCGCTGCCGGCGCGGTGGCGGATCCTCGGGGGCCGCGAGGCACCTCTCGGGGAGGATTAGAGCCCACCCTGCCATGGCGATCAGCGGGTTGCATCGGTTGTCATTCCTCGAGAACCTTCCCAGGTGGATAGACCTCCTACCCTGACACGTCGATTGAGGAATTGGCCGTTTTCGGTTCGCGAGAGGGCGTCGCGGCCGTCATTTTTGCGGGTGGCCTCCTCGAGGGCGGAGGAGGCGGAGGAGGAGGAGGAGGAGGAGGAGGAGGAGGAGGAGGACGACGAGGATGAGAAGGAGGAGGAGGAAGAGGAGGAGGACGACGACGAAGAGGAGGAAGAGGAGGAGGAGGAGGAGGAGGAGGAGGAGAGGAGGAGGAGGGAGGAGGAGGAGGAGGAGGAGGAGGAGGAGGAAGGGGAGGAGGAAGGAGGAAGATGAGGAGGGGGCCAGAGGATAGCAAGAGCAACATCAGAGGGCCGGGCGGCCCCGCAGCGTTTGGGTGGGCCCGCGCCCGCAGGGCCCGGCCCAGGGGCCGTGTGTTCCGCGTGCTGCTCCCTCGCTTCTCTTCTCGTGCGCAGGCCCGCTGCTCGTTGGGCAGTAGCACGCTGCAGGGGGCGTGCGACCGGCATGGCATTGATATGGCGTTCAATCAGCGGCACCGTAGCGGGTGCTTCAGTCGGTGGACAAAATACTGCAAGTTATCTGAGCATTATGATAAACAGCGTGCCAACTAGTATTAGATTCCATCGATCTCTGAGGACCCCCCCATCCCCACATTTCAATTTTGACTTGCATTATTTTGTCCACCCGGACTTGGGGTGCTCGCTTGGTGCCAACATTGAGATGTAGGGGGCGGGGATTGTTCGTCGAGGTGGCGCCGCAATGTAGGTGCAGCCGCACGCGGTCAGGAGCAGCTTGCAAAATTTCGTCGTCCCACCGTTACTAGCGGGTACTTTGACACTTTGCCGAAAGTAGCCTTTCTGGGGCACCTTTCTGGCATTGCAGCGTTGCCCGCATCGGGAAGGGTTGGGTTCGCCGGGTCACTGGCCAAAGTGCCCCTTAGTGGAGTCCCCATTAGAGGGGCGATGGCTTTGGCTTTTCGACGAATCGCGACGGCCATGTTTTTAAGTCCCAGGTCATGTCGCGTCGGGACACATGTTGGCGGACAGTTTTTGGTGCATGTGCTGGGCCTGGGGGCCGTCAGCATCATCACTTCGGGGTTCAAGAGTCGGGGGTCAGTGCAAACGGGGGTCAGTCAGAGCGCTGGATCTTGCAGGATCCTGCAGAGCCAGGGGCGCACTGGCCAGGGTTTGGGTGCAGGATTCTGTAGGACCCTGCAGGATTTTGCAGGATCCTGCAAGGCCTGACTGACCTGGGTTTGGATTCACCCGTGTCAGAAGATCCCCGATTTTACTCTTCGAAGAGTCGCGACGACCATGTTTTGAAGTCGCAGGTCCCGTCGCGTCGCGGACAACTGTTGGCGGACGGTTTTTGGTGCCTGTACTGGGCCTGGGGGGCGTCAGCATCATCACTTCGGGGTTCAAGAGACGGGGGTCAGTGCAAACGGGGTCAGTCAGAGCGCTGGATATTGCAGGATCCTGCAGAGTCATGGGTGCGTTAACCCGGGCTTGCGCGTAGAATCCTGCAGGAGTTTGCAGGATCTTGCAAGGCCTGACTGACCTAGGTGTGCATTGGCCCGGGTCAGTGCGTCGTCCCCGATAACTCAGGATGAAAGCCGATCCCAGGGAAGAGATCCAGCTAGGGGGTCCGACAAAAACCACGACGTCAGGGATCCAGGATCCCTTTGTTTTGCGCCTCTATGTGGGCGTCCAGGGGCCAGTTTCTTGGTCTCTTTTTGGTGTGGAAGGTCTCCATGTCATCAAGCATGGATGATGGGCGAAAGATGGCACCACGGGGACAAAGTCGAGGGGACCGCGAACTGTCAAACGGCTACTCATGGACGAAAAGCTGGCCACACACGGCTTCCTCATGTGAAATCGTGCATGTTCCGAAAGTGTAAGAAGACAAGGTCCACGCGTTTCTGTGGCAGCCTCCTGGGGCGCTAGCGTCGCTGCAGCTGGACCCCCCCCCCCGAATTCTGGTCAGAACCTTGAGATCCGACGACGCGAAACGATCGCAACACAGTGTCGCGGCCAGATCCCCCAAGAGGGGCCCCAAGAGGCGCCCACACGGCTCCAACAGGCCTCCAAGAAGCTCCCCAGAGACCCTAAAGAGGCCTCAAAGTAATCCCCGAGGTATCCAAGACGATCAGAGACGGCCCTGGGTCCGCAAAGAGCTTCCCCAGACGTTTCAAAGAGGCATCTGATCAGCCTCCCAGAGACATCCCGCCCTTCTGCTGCATCTTGTCATGCCGGGTCGAGCCGTGAGGCTCCCGGGGGCCCGAAATGATGTGTGCGATCGCCCGACCCGGAACATAGATATACGACGCCCGGGTGCCCAGGGACAGGTCGGGGGGTCGCTCTTGAGCCTGGCATCGCTCGGACGTGTGCATTTTTTTCTCGGCGAGAACCATCGAGGAGCATCCTGGATCATTTGGCGAAAAAGCCACGCACGAAGCCGAACGAAAGCACGGGGAGTGGACGTCCGAGCGATGGCGAGTGAGGCCCAGGAGACAGCATCGCCCCAGCGTCGCGCACCTCGGGGCAGGCCCGGAGAGTGCAATGCTTGCCTACGTAGAGCGCGCTCGCTGCGGTCGGAAACTCTGCCGTCGCACACTTTTCTCGGACACTCGTCGGACGCTCGCATAAGTTCGAGGGTTGGATTTGGCCCCGCCCTCTTCGTCCTCACGCGAATCGTGCATATTCGTCCATATTCGTCACTTGCCACCTGTGGCAGGTCCCAGCGGTACGCCTCGTCACGGCGTTGTCGGCCTTCGCAGGCCTGTCTCGATCCCATAGGAAGCGGAACGCCGGTCTTGGGGGGCCCGTGAGGACCTAAAGGGTCGGAGCCTCAAGGTTTGGTCCTTGAGATCCTTGCGTCTCAATGCTTTCGAGCTGGGCGTGTTCGCCATGTTTCGGGCGCCGAGACCATCACGTATCGGCACGGCTCGAACAATTGCGCAGAACGATCGGGTCTAGGGCTCCGGTCGTGATTTCTATCTATATATATATATATATGTTTTTTTGTTTCGCGACGTCAGATCTCGGGGGTCTTGTTGCAGGTGGCTTTGGCCCAAGTCGCAGAACAGCATAACTGCATAACTGCAGAACTGCATATGCGTACATGCCCTGAGGTCCGCGCGAAGTTCTTGGATCGGCGCTGGAGCCCCCCCTGGCGGCGCCTCTGGCGCCCCCGCCCTGGCGCGGCCAGATCCGAGAGAGCCGCGCGGGCCTCCAGAGGTCGATGTTCCTGCTGTCTTCCCGCCGGGCCGCCCCAGTCCCCGCACTGCGCCCCGCCGCCGCTGGCCCCCAGGTGCAGCCACCGCCGCGGGCCCGTCGGCGGGGCCGGCCGCGCCACGCGCTCGGGGCGTGACCCGTCCCCCTGAACGGCCCCGCTCTCCTCGCCCCTCTCTCGTTCGGCCGCTTCTGCTGTCTGTTCCCCCGCTCCCTGCATGGTGGCACAATTCGCTATTTTTTGGGTCGGCAGGTCGGGAGCGGGCTCCTTCCGGTTAAGAGCTAGGCGGGGCGCGCGAAGCCCTAATTGGGGAGACAGGGCGCAGGCGGGCGGGGCCTCAGGCGGGGCACAATTCCCTACACGGGTACCCCCGTTTGGTTCGCTCTTCGCCAGGCGCAGAGGACCCCTGCCCTGCCGCCGACGCAAATCGTTGATGTTGCCTGGTGTTTTCGCGGGCGGAGGCCCTGCCACCGGCCGCGAGGGCGCACGTGCACCCACCCTGGGCCCATGTAGGAGGGGCCCGGCTGGGATGGGTGAGGTGGTCAGTGGGCTCTAGGCTTCCTCGATGGGATCTGAGCACATGGGGTCGGAGGATCGCGCCGCATCGCCGATGCATCGACGATGCGGCTCGATGTGGGGCACGTGCTTCCCCACGCCGACGTCGACGATGCATCGCCGACGTCGCCGATGCATCGCCGATGCAACGCCCACGCATTGCCGATGCATCGCCGATACATCGGCGACGCCTTGGCAATGCGGCGCGATCCTTCGACCCCATCAGCTCGGACCCCATGTGGGAGGCCTCTATTGGCGCCGCCCGAGATGACCATCGCACCCCTGGGGTACTCTAAGGGCATGCCTGCCCGCGGCGGCGCGCACGAAGGTGAGGGCGCAGAGGGGGCGGCCTTCCACTGGGACCCGCATCTTCAGTGCAGGGAATCGGGGGCGTCGGAGGGGGGTTTCGTGGGAGGCACGGGGGCAGCCCAGAAGCCCCTTGCCTGACCTACAGCTGGCGACGATGTGAGCCTCAGAAGCGGCAGGCGCTCCCTCAGCGCCGATCCAAGGAATCCGAACAATAGGTTGATGTCGCTGGCTGCTCACCAGGATGAGCGACGCAATCGAATGGGGTTGTCTTTGCCGACGTTGGCGCGTAAGCTGCCCGCGTACGGTTGCGCGTGAGCGCCTTCGTCTCCAATGTGGCGTGCCGCGCTGGCGGCCCGCGTAAGCTGCGTCGCCAGGTCGCTGTGCCATCTCGCGCAAGACGCGTTTTTGATCGTCGCCCAAATGGCCCCAGTTTTCCTAGGAGGGCCCGGCTGGCCTCGGAAGCAGCCCCCACGGGGCACCCGGAGGGTCCACGGGAGCAGCCCCCAAGCGGGCGCGAGCGCGACCCAGGCATCCGACGGTGTCTCTTTGTGCCTCCTCGCGCAGGCCCCACAGGTCTTGACCCTCTCCCTTGGGGCACGCACGTTCTCGTCCCAGATCCATGTTTGAGAGTCCCGGGGCGAGAGACGCCTCCTCCCCGGATTCTTAGATACCAGATGTTGTTCGGTCGCGATCGGCAGCGACCGATCGGCATTCCAAGTCGGTCGCGACCGATCGAGACCGATTCCAGAGTCAGGCGCGACTGGTCGTGACGGATCGCGACCGATGATGGATTTTTGGAGCAACAGCGGCAGCCACCCATTTCGGCGGTCGCGGCCGAAAAATCCAGTATCCGATGATCAGGGCGGAGACCGGAATCAGAGGAAGACTCAGGAGAGAAAAAAACACACAGACAAAATTAATCGTCGATTCCCTTGAAAATATAGGAAAATATGGGAAGTGGGGGGGAAGACAAAAACCCAGAAAATACAGGAAACTATGGGGAATAGTTTTACGTGTGTGTATTTATTTGTGTGTCCTGGGGCCGCTTCGAAGACGCCGGGATGGAACAAATCGATCCGCGGGAGGCGACGCTGTCCGACGACCGGGCGGACCGCATCCAGGCGTGCGCCGAGGAGCTGGAGACGCGTCCGGGGCTCCGGCTGCTGGGCGCCACCGCGATCGAGGACCAGCTCCAGAGCGAGGTGCCCGAGGTGCTCCAGCAGGTCGATTTTTCGGGGGGAGGGACAAACCCGACCCCCCCTCGAGTCGGAGGAAAGATCACGTCGGAGGATTCGGGGCTCTCTTTCCTGCCTCTGGGGGCCCTTACCGGGCCTCGGGACCGTCAATGAACCACTCAGGTTGGAAAGTTGGTCCTGGGGAATAGGTCGAGACCTCTGAGGGGTCGACGTTATGTACAAAGCATGACGTTGGGGTTATGATAAGATTACATAGAGACTTCTTCCTTTGGACCAGAAATGTTGTTGCCCGATCGCGCGCACGGTTCAAGAAGCTGTGCCGCTACCGTTCCCTCGTCTTCGCCTGACTGGCCTCTTGGTGGACTCTCCGTCGTTCTGGCTGGCTTCGCAGTGGAGCCCTAGTCAGAATGCACCCCGAGAGAGTTCAAGGACAGCGGTATCGGTGTACCTTTGCTCCCCAAGGAGGAACGCTGATCATCGGCCGTCCGCGTCTCCCGACTGTCCCTTTTCCCCCTCGCCCTATTGAATTCGCGCAGACAAGAAAACGGTCACTCTCTCAGGTGCAGGAGGCCGGCATCCGCGTCTGGGTCCTCACGGGCGACAAGGTGGAGACCGCCATCAGCATCGCCAAGTCCTGCAGGCTGCTCACCGAGGACATGACGCAGATCCTCCTCGAGGGCGACGGGCCCGACCACGAGGACCCGCCGAGGCCATCTATACACCGCCCCCGCTCCTGGCCACGATGGCCATGGCCAATTGACTGTCGGGGGCGGCCAAGAGCTTGGCATCTCTCGGACGTGTGCACTTTTCCTTCGGCGAGGACCATCGAGGAGCATCCTTGATCATTTGGCGAAAAGGCCACGCACGAAACCGAAACAAACACAGGGAGTGGACGTCCGAGCGATGGCGAGAGAGTGGGGTCCTGACGGGGGGGGGGGGGGGGCGCATATGGCACCCAGAGGACCCACCAGGCCCCCTGGGGCATGCAAGACCAAAAACGGACGGACGGACGGACGGACAGACGACGGACAGGCAGACTGGCGGACCGACAGAACGACACGGACAGGCCCCCTGGGGCACGCAAGACCAAACGGATGGACGGACGGACGGACAGACGACGGACAGGCAGACTGGCAGACCGACAGAAAGACGCGGACAGACGGACACAGGGCGGTCCGCACCCAGCTCGGGCCAGGCCAGGCTGAAGCAGAGCATTCCCCCGCCGAATCCGCAGCCCCGCGGGAGGGTGCGAGTGCCGGCCGGCGGATGCTGGCCGGCGAATGCAAGGGCGCACCAGGGGGAGGCCCAGCGAACGCACGGGTTTTGGAAACCAGAGCCGCCCAGCGAATGCAAGGGCGCACTAGAGGCAACCGATCTACGTGCAGTTGGCGGGGGGCCACCCTGGAAGAGCTCCAGGGCGCCCCGCCCAGCGGAGCGCGAGGAAGTGGGCGGGCGGGGAAAGCTGCAACCGTGCTCCTGCGCAGTGACCCCGGCGGTGCCGCAGCGAGCAGGGCCGCCGCACTGCCCACTCGCGCCCACGAGCGAGAAGCAGTGAGAGCTCGAGCGTCTGCGACCTGCTGCAGAAACCCAGCTGGCGCCCACACCTGGCGCTCTGTGGGTCCACCGGGCCCCTATGAGGGCATGCAAGACAAAACAGCCGGACGACGGGCAGACGACGGGCAGGCCGGCGGACCGACAGACACGGGCAGACGGGCACGCGGCGGCTCGCACCCAGATCGGGCCGGGCGGGAGCACGGCGTTTCCTCCGCCGAGCCCGCAGCCCCGCGGGAGGCCACCAGCCACGAGCACGAGGCCAGGAGGCAAAGAGGCCAGAAGGCGAACAGTGGATGGACACCCCTGCTCCTTCCCTTCCACTGCCCCCCCCCCCAATCACTCGTGCCTCGTGGTTTTGGGGTGCTATCGTGGCCGGCGCCATGAGACCCCCCCAGGTATCATGCCCCCCTACCCTGATGTGAATGCATCCCCTGGCCTCCCTTCGGGGCCGCGCAGATACCTCTGGCCATGATCTGCGACTCCCATCTTGGACGCCCCCCCTTGAGCCCCCCTGGGATTGGGCACGCGGTGGTGGTGTATAGCGGCTTCCTGCGGCGAGGAGCTCCTCAGGCGCGCCTGGCCGCGCGCGGGGGGGCGAGGGGGGGTGTTGGCCAATAGACAGAGGGAGGCTCTGGGGGTGCCGAGGTGGACCACCACTGGCTCGGCCAGCTGAATGTTACCGGCCAGTTGAATATGCCCTACGCTTGGCATCTTTATGCCTTATGCCGATGCCGATCCTAGCGATTCCCCCCTGCATCTGATGGGCGTATCCCTGGGAGCGTCGTCGCCTTTTGGTCTCGCAACCTTGAGGATGGGGAGACGTCCGCGGCTGGTCAGCACAAGGGGGGCCAGTGGCGTTCCTTTCCGGGCCCTCCCCGGGGGGGCTTCCCGTCGCCACGGGTGGACGCGGTTCGCTCGAAAGGTTCGTTGGGCCCCCAGGCAGCTTGGCATCGCTCGGACGTGTGCATGTATCTTTCGGCGAGGACCATCGAGGATCATGTGGCGAAAAAACCACGCACGAAACCGAAAAAAACACAGGGAATGGACGTCCGAGCGATGGCCAGTGCGACGTCTTGACTTTTGGCGGCACTCCGTGGCGAACCTTCGCCAGTGCCGGCCCTCGTGGGGCGTTGGGGCCGTGCCCGCCCAGACCGCGCTTCGCCCTGCTTCGGCATTGAAGGGGGGGGGAGGGCGACATTGAGGGGGTGAGATGGGGGCGGCACTGAGGGCGGGGGGTGCAGCCACTTTCGATGGTGCAGCCACTTGTGATGCTCCTGCTGCCAGATCGAGGTCGTGGGTGCGGCAAAGGGGCTTCGGGCTCCGCCCCTGCGAGGCTCTCTCTCTCCGCCGCCCCCGACCCCCCTGCGGTGGAGCCCAGGTGCCTCCCTGGAAGGCCGCCCCCCCCCCCCCTTCGCCCACTGCCTCCGTGCGCGCCGCCGCCGGCAGGCATGCCCTGGAGTGCCCCAGACCTGCGCTCGTCATCTCGGGCGGCGCCCACCGACCACCTCACCGAGCCCGGCCGGGCCCCTCCCATGGTTCAGCGAGCGAAGAACGGTATAGAATAAACTTTTTCGCCGTCGGGGACGCCTGCCCCTGGGCGGCTGGAAAGTTGATACCCTTACGGTGGCACCGTAGGGGTATACATTTTCCAGCCGCCCAGGGGCAGGCGTCCCCGACGGCGAAAAAGTTTATTGTATACCGTTCCTCGCCCGTTAAATGGTCGGGGCATATGTGCCTTCTCGGCCTGGCAAGGGCTGCGCCGGCGGAAGAAACAAAACGGCACAAGCAGAAGCCTTCGGAGGTCCGCACGGACTTCTCTTATCTGCGATGGGCCCCCTCCCTGGCGCGCGGAGCGCGCCAGAAACGGCGCCAGAGGCGCCGCCAGGGGGGTCCAGCGCCGACCCAAGAAATCCGACGAAGATGTCGTTCTACCTATGCGACCACCCTACGGGTGATTAGGAGGTTCGGGGGGGGGAGGAACCAACGTCGCACTCAATCGGTCTCACTGTCGATCGCGCTATCGAGCTCACCCCGGGATGCCGACGGGACACCGACGGAACGTCACTAACTATCGATCTCACGATCGATCTCACTCGATCGATCTCACTCGATCGAACTCACAATTGATCTCAGGTTATCCTTCTCACTATCGATCCCACTATTCCTCTCACTATCGATCCTATTTTCATTCTCATTGTCAATCTCACAGTCGATCTCACTACCGATCGCACTATCGACTTTGCAATCGATCTTGCTATCGAACTCACGATCGGTCTCACTATGACGGAAAGCGCGCGTGGCGTCGCGATCCGTTTTTGTTGGAGAAATATCAGGGGGGAGTGTGAGGGGGTTGGCAGGACCCGTCCCAGATCTAATTGCTTGAAGTTCGGCCATCTTCGGCCCAAGATGGCCCAAGTCGGCCCCAAGAACGCAGAGGCCCCCTAAGACGGCCCAAAAGGCCCCCGAGGCGGTCCAACATACCTTCAGGACGGCCTCAGAGAGGTTTAAGAGGGTCCTAAGACGGCCCTAGAGCGTTCAACGCGAGCCCAAGACGGCCCCAAGACGGCCAGAGAGGCCCTCAAGACGCTCCGAAAGGCCCCCAGAGTACCAGTACCCCCAAATTGTAAACAGCGTACATGTTAAGCACACTCGCTTCTTTGGTTTGAGTATCGTCCAAGACCGCCCCAACACGGCCCGAAAGGTCCCCAAGAGGGAGGCAGTTTGGGGGCCTCTGGGGGGCTGTTTTGGAACCTCTTGGAACATCTTAGGGCCTCTTCGGGGCCTCTTGGGGCCCTCTTGGGGCTTCTTTCTTGGAGGCCTCTTGGGGCATCCTGTGCGCCTCTTGGGACAGAAGGCTCGGATTTTTGGTGACCCCCTCTTGGGCCCTTCTTGGGCCATCTTGGGCGCCTCCTGGGCCGTCTCGGGGCCTTCTTGTGCCGTCTGGCGGCCCTTTTGGGGGGCCTCTGGGGGATTCGCGTGGCGGTCTTGGGGGCCTCTTGGGACGTCGTGGAGCGTCGGAACCCACAAACCTGTAGGAAGTGTGTAATCTTGGCCTCTCGGACCCCTCTTGGGAAGGCTCTTGGGCCTCTCTTGGGGTATTCTCGAAGGCCTCTTGGGCCGTCTCAGGGGCCATCTTGGGCGTCGTGGACCAGTCGTTCGGCGGCTGAGGGCCGTCTTGGGCACCTCTCTGGGCCCGAAAACGTGAGGCGGGGAGGCCGGGGACACCAGGGAGCACGCGCGAAGGCGAAGAAGCCCTCGCCAGAGGAGGGTTCGGTCCTCTCGCCCGCCCGCCCAGCTTCGCCTCGCCCGCGCGCGCGACGCGAACACGGAATTGAAACCGATTTCCTGCCAGGGGGGCTCTGCTTGCCACTGGGATCTCACCCCCCTCGCCTCCGATGTAGTAGGTGCTCGTTCCCCTAGGCGTACACTCTGATCCTGGGCCCTGGATCGGGCTGGCCAGGATCGCAACCGAGGAGCATGCCTATACGGCCGCCGTTCGGGTGATAGGGAGGTGGGGGGGAAAGAACCAGCTGAGGACAATCGCGACGGGACGCCGACGGGACACCAGGGAACACCGACGGGACACCGACGAGTCACTGACGGGACACCGACAGGACCCCGACGGGACACACACCCGGCCACCGCCCGCGGACACCGACGGGACACCGACGGGACATCACGTCGGGAGGGACCCACCCGACCACGCCAGCCCACTGGAGGGGCGGTCTTTTGTTTCGACCCGCCCCAGCCACAGTGGTGTCATTCCTCTCGCCCGCCCACGCAGCTTCGCCTCGCCCGCACGCCCGACACGAACGCGAAACCGAAACCGATCTCCCGGTGGGGGGCTCTCCGTTCCTCTTCGATCTCATCCCCCAACCTCCGATCCGTACCTATACGACCACCCGTCGGGTGATAAGGAGGCTGGTTGGGGAACAAAAAACCAACAGAGGGCAATTGCGACGGGGCGCCGACGGCGGGACGCCGACGGCGGGACACCGACGGCGGGACACCGACGGGGGACACCGACGGGACACCGACGGGACGCCGGCGGGGCACGGACGGGGCACCGACGGGGCACCGACGGGGCACTGACGGCCCGCGGACACCGACGGGACGCCGACGGGTCACCACCACGGCAGGACTCACCTGGCCACGGCCCGCGGACACCGACGGGACCGTCAGGACACCACGGCGGGACACCACGGCGGGAGACCGCAAGCCACGCCGGCCCCCCCGGAGGCACAGCGGAGTCATTCCTCGCGCCCGTCCACGCAGCTTCGCCTCGCCCGCACCCACGACACGAAGCCGAAACCGGAACCGATTTCCCCGTGGAGTGCTCGCCGTTCGACTTCCATCTCCCCCCCCCAACCTCCGATCCGCGGCCTCCCGGGCTGGGATACGGGGCGTTTTCTGCGAATGCTCCGCGCGGAACGGATCCCGTGCGACCGCGCATCCGCGGGATCGCGCCCCCGAGTCCACACCGCGAGGGCGCGGATGTGCAGATGTTCGGATGCAAGTCCTGAAAGGTCTCATTTTGATTTTGCCCTGGTCCGGAACCTGGTTTCATCCGGCTTGGCCCCGCTTAGTCCGACTTGAGCCTGCGCCATCCGGCTGAATCCCGCTTCATCCGCGGCCCAATCCGGCGTAGCAGCCCCCCAATGGGGCTTCATCCTCCTAGATTCTTCCGGCCCAGACCCCCGACGTCGTGCTTCCCTCATGACGTCGACCCCCAGAGGTCTCGACCTGTTCCCCGGGGCTCGTTTTTCATCCTGGGTCGTTTTTTGCCGGTCCTGAGGCCCGGCGAGGGCCCCCAGAGGCCGCAAACGACGAAAAACCTCCCGTGGAGTAGTAGGAGGAGGAGGAGGAGGAGGAGGAGGAGGAGGAGGAGGAGGAGGAGGAGGAGGAGGAGGAGGACGAGGACGAGGACGAGGACGAGGAGGACGAGGAGGACGAGGAGGACGAGGAGGACGAGGAGGACGAGGAGGAGAAGGCCGAACGCGATTGTGTCCCTGCTCGAGGGGGCCTGGCCGCGCCGCTCGTGCCCGGATCGGTGAGGCGCGGCCGGCCGACGTCGCCCGGTCGTCTCCGGAGCGGCCCTGCGCAGCCTGCTGCTCGAGGCCACGGCCTGCGGCGAGCTGCGGCGGCTGCTGCTCGAGGCGGCTCAGCGCTGCTGCACCGTGGTCTGCTGCCGGGTCTCCCCGAAGCAGAAGGCCGACGTGGTCGGCCTGGTGAAGTCGCAGGTGCCCCGGGGGCTGCGCAGACGTCGTTGCTTTTTGGGCTTCTTCTTCTCCAGACTCAGGCGAGTTTATTTGCGTGGCGTTCGCCCCCCCCCCCCCCCCCACCCCACCCCACCACCACCCACCCCCCGCCCGTCGCCCCTCGTCGATCGAGCACGAGAGTGCAAGTGCCTTTCGACGTGCGTGATTTCCGCACGTCAAGTCGTCTGCGACCCTGCTTCAGGTTCAGCCCCCCCCCGTCCATGCAAGTGAACTTGCCAGAGTCAAACAAAACAGGCTCTTTGCCCCGTTTTCGATTTTCGGTTGTCGGCCAACCATGACGGACCAAAACAGGGAAGCCGAGGAGGGAACAGAGAAAGATATCGACGGTGGTGCAGAAGGACGCCGAACCAAAAGCGGCGCGATCGACAACCCCAGAAAGGGGGAGAAACGACCCCCCAAACAGAGCCAAAAACAATAGATTTTGAAAACGCTACAAAAACACCCCCCAGCGTTTGTAAATTCACCGACACCCAGGAGTCGAATCGAAAACGGCGTGAACGAGAATCCTAAAGCGGGACAACCCCCAGCGTCTTAGATATCAGCCAAGCCGGGGAGTCGAGTCCAAAGCGACGTGACCGAGAATCCTGCAACAGAGAAATTACCTCGATCTTGAGCCTTGACAGCAATTTGTTCCAACATACTCCTACGCCCAAGGAGAGTCGGCAGCGACGTGAGCGACAGAAGAAAACGGGGTCGACTGTCCCGACGTTGGCGCGTAGGTTTCTCGCGTAAGGTCGCGCGTGAGCGCCCTCGTTGTCCACGCGGCGTGCTGCGCTGCCGGCCCGCGTAAGCCGCGGGATCACGTCGCCTCCCCTTGCAGGCCGAAAGATTGTCCTCTCGAGCTCGAGAGGCCACGCAGGTGCCCACGGTGACATTCGAGCCTCTCGTTCTCATAGGGGGTGTGAGTGGATGTGCGCCCGCTGTGACGCTCGGGACGCCCAATGTTATGGGTGGAGCTGTGGGAGCGGGCGGGGCCCGCAATGACAATCGAGCCCTCCAGTGCTTCCATTGCTGTGAGGGTGTAGTGGGAGTGGTCCGCAGTGACGCTCGAGCTGATGGTTGTGATTGATGGTGGCGATGATGATGATGACGACGATGACGATTATAATGATAATGGTGATGATGATGATGATGATGATGATGATGATGATGATGATGATGATGGTGATGATGATGATGATGATGATAATGATGATGATGATGATGATGGTGATGATGATGATGATACTTATGATGATGCTGATGAGGATGAGGATGATGGTGGTTGTGGTGGTGGTCGTGATGATGATGGTGATGATGATGATGATGACGTGGAATCCCATCTCCGTGGAATCATACCGCCATGTGTCACGTGTAGTACCCCGTGCGTCTCATATCCCCCAGCTCCAGGATATGGATTCCTCATGCGTATGAAATATTTATTCCAGCGGAATCCGCCGAGCGCATAAATAGGATCCACGAGACTTTAGCGCACCCGAAAAAGGATCCAATTGTATCCAGTGGTTCTTACACGTTTTTTAATCCAAGCGAAGAAAAATTCGGCCTCGGGATGTATGTCATCTCGCGTAAGACTCGTTTCTTTTTGTCGTTGACGTGGCACGTGGCGATATGGCGCGTTGTCGACGACGGCGCATTCGAGCGACGACAGCGCCTCAAGCGGCGGCGCGGCCGCGGCGCTCGCTGCCGGCGGCGATGACGCTTTGAGATGCTCTACCGCTCTCCTTCCCCTCCTCCGACGTGTCTGGATGATTGCCTTGACAGCGTCGGCGTGGCACGCATTGCGCTATAACATACGCTCATCTCGACATACAAACTTACATACATGCAGACCTACCTACATACATACATACAAACAAACAAGCATACATACATACATACACGTCGAATGCATACGTACGTACATACATACATACATACATACATACATACATACATACATACACACATACACACATACAAACATACTTACATATATACATACATGAATACATACATACATACACATACATACATACATACATACATACATACATACATGCATACCTACACATACATATACACATACACATACACATACACCTACACCTACACCTACACCTACACCTACACCTACACCTACACCTACATATACACATACACATACACATACACATACACATACACATACACCTACACATACACATACACATACACATACACATACACATACCTACCTTCGTCGACATACATACATACATATCGAATTGAGATTTCGAGCCCTCCGCCCAAAGGTAGCCCCCTAGACCGCCAGCATGTCCCCAAGAGGTCGAAAAAAAGGCCCAGACAGGCCCCCAGACGGCCCCCAAGAGGCCCCTGGAGACAATCAACATGTATATTTATAGCGATGGCGCTTCGGACTATGCACATTTGTCCCTCAAGCTTCGCGTATGTTGGCATTTGGCGTCGTACTCTTTGGCCTGTACAAGTTGTCCGTTTCCTCTCAAGTCCCTTCACCCGTTCTTCATTTGTTATCGAACTTGATTTACATGTTCATGCGCCACCCGAATGTTGCTTGGGGTGCGTTTTGATTTGAACTTCGAGGCGGCCCCGATGATGTGGCGACGAGAATGACACCTGGAGGCTCCGAAAAGGCGTTGCACCCAAATCGCGTGCCTTCTGAGTTGGATCCTGCGCCGGCAGGTGTTGTAACGACCTCCGCGTCGATTTTCGACACCGTTTGGATCGTTCAGCCGAGAACGATCGCGCATTCCAGCTCAACACAGACCGATTTCTGACCACTGGCCGCGTTCACTCCGAACGCCCGCACCGTTGTCGCCGCCGCGTGGGGGTCTCACGGATGCTTCTCAAGGGCTTCGGGGACCTTTGGAGACCTCCTGGGCGCCACTCTGGGCCGTCTTGAGGGTCCTTTCGCAGCTTGTTTGGGCCGTCTTGGGCCGTGCTGGGGCCCTCTTGTGGAATTCGAGCCCTATACGGGCCTTCTTGGGGCAATCTGGGGCCCTCCTGAGGACCTTCCATGACCCTCGTGGGCAGTCTTAGGAGCTTCTTTTGGCCGTCTTTGGGCAGTCTTAGGGCCCTCCTATTGGGTCGTCGTGAACGCTGCCACGCCACAAGGAACGAATCTGCTTAAAATGTACGTTTCCCCGATGGGCTGGTAAGCTGTTCGCCTCTCGGGGGCCCTCCTGGAGGGCCTCAATGGGGCGTCTTGGGGGCTGCATGGGCAGGGCGGCGAAGCGCCCTGGGAGGCGATGGAGGGGCTGGAGGACCTCTTCGAAGAGCGTCCGGGGGGCCCCAAAGCCCTGGATCCCCGGGGGCCGTCTTTCTCGTTTTTTTTGTTGGGGGAGGGAGTGCCAACCCTCCGATTTGTAAAACTATAGGAAGAGGAGGAGGAGGAGGAGGAGGAGGAGGAGGAGGAGGAGGAGGAAATCAGCTGCAGCCGTCGGGTCGCGGAAAGGCCAACTGTGCACGCGAGCAGGCGAAGAAGGATGAAAATCGCCCGCGGAGTCGGGGGGGGGAAGGGGCGTTCTCAGAGCATGACGCACTTCGCGCACTGTGCTGGCGGCCTCGGGATCCAGGGGGGGCGGAGGAAGGCACGCGATACGGGATCACCTGTCAACTTCCCTCGTTTTCGCCTTTGCCACGAGTTCTGGCACGCGTAAAAGTGCCGCGTCGTGAAACTCACGATGGTAGTCCTGACCCCGTCATGTCTGCCCCGCTGTATCACCAAGGACCATATGTGAGGGCCTGCGTGCCCGCAATATCGGGCGAAAGCGCCCGGCCCGAAAGGTTTGCGACGCCAGGGTCTTAGGAGTCGGGGTCGCCCCGGGAAGGAGGGTATGGCCCTCTTCGCCGTTGCCGGGTGCGTCTCGGCCGTCCTGCGGCGCCGGGAGCGCGCGCGCCCGGAGCGGGATCTGGAGACCAGGTGGTCGATTGAGAGATCATTTCGTCGATTGAGAACTTTTGATCGATCGAGGAGGCAGCGAGGAGTTCATCGATCGAGTCGAAATATCGAAGGATCGATCGGTCGGCCCCTCCTTCCCGGGCCGCGGCCCCTGATCGCTCTTCCACAGGTGCGCTCGGCCGTGACGCTGTCGATCGGCGACGGGGCCAACGACGTGTCCATGATCGTGACCGCTCACGTCGGCGTCGGCCTGACGGGGAAGGAACCGGCGGCGCGGACAAAGGGGGTGGCGGGAGGGGTGGTAATGGAGGATGACGATTAATAAATGACCGGGGGTCGTGTTCACGCGGCGGCGCCCGGGATGACGATTAGAAAAAACCGGCCGCGGGCTGGATAATTATGTTTTAAACCGTTCTCCTCCAGTCAGAAAATTGTGCAGAAATAACCGGGAACTATTTTTTTAATCGTTCCCCCCATTTTTTGTATTAATCGTCATCCCGCATTATACTGCTTCGGGTGGGCGAACAGACAGCCCAACATGCCCCACCCCGAGTACTCCCGGCCAGCCTCAACAGGCCCCCCGAGCGGTCCGGGGCGGTCTCAACACCCTGGCGCCGCCTCTGGCTGCGCCCCCCAGGCGCTCCGCGCCCCAAAATTGAGGTGTTGAGACCGCCCCGGACGTGTTAGTTTTCACCCTGGGTGTTTGGTTGGCCGCTTGTATGTTTTGGAGCCGATGGATCCCCCCGAGACATTCGGACATGTTTTGCTAAGACAAACGGGCGTGTTTTGTATATTTCGGGTTTCGAGCATTCTTTTGCACTGCGAAATGCACTGGTGGCATAAATTGCTCAAGTTTTGCCATTGCGAAGAACTCAATCGTGACCTCTTGTTTCATCGAGTGGGGATATTGCGACGAAAAAGCTGCTAATATCACTGAAACGCTGCGAGCCGTCAAGCTCGTCCACGCCTGCGTGGCGCACACACGAGCACCCTGGAAAAAATCGAGCCCCAGGGTCAAACAAATGAGGGTTTTGGACCGTCGCCCAATTTTTGAGTTGCTACCGCAAGGGATCCGAGAAGAACTCCCAAACAGTACGGCGTCACGATCCAAAAAAAACTAGAACAAGCCCCCCAGGTTGGCACGCCGCCATGCCATTATTCGATTTCGGTCGACCGCCAGAAAGGACATCGAAAACTCAACCAAATATGTTTTTTCGTTGCCCCCCCCCTTCGGTGCCGCCTTCCTGCCTCCACTCCTTTCTATTCTTCGATACATGGTCGCGATCGGCAGCGCGGGCCACGGGCCGCCCCGGGCCGCGCCCAGCCTTGCTTGGCATGGGGCAGACTGAACGGCACTGCGAAGAGGGTGAGAAAATGAGGAGTGGGGTCGCAAGCAAGCAGAAGGATAGCGAAATCACGAGGAAGGAAGGCGCCCGGGGTCCGAATTGTCGAGGATAGAGGGGGAATGCCGAGACGTTCTCCACATGTTTTGTCATCATCGCTCACGCCCCCCTCTTCAGATTATCTGGCCTTCCGCGCCATTGTGGCTCAGCTTAATTAATACCGTTGCATGCCCCTCATTCTAAATTCTCACAATGTGTGATCGATGTCATTGTTGCTCTGCGGCTATCCATCGGGCCTCTTGCGTGAGCCCCATTCAAAAAACCGTCGGTATTTTCCTCAGCCAGATTGGTTGAAAGAGAAGGTCGCCAGGGCTGGTTTGGGGCATAATTGGCTTCAGAGCCACTGCAATCCCACGAGAGACGAATTTGCAAAATGGAATTCTCGAGTAGCTATGTGCAGCGTGATTGCAAAAATCCAGCCAGGGCAGCTTGGCCACCATGGCATCCTCACTGAATGGACTCAGGAGGCTGAAGCTCTTTGGAATTATCTCATGGGCATTCGCCCGATACCGCCTGCACCAAGTCGACAAGGTAGCACTCGTGCAGCCAATGCCCGGGGGTGATGACGAGCTTTCCCGTCATGCTAAACTCGGCAACGATCAATGGGGATACCTGTGTATGAACGCGTTGATGTATACGACATACGACATATATATACGACGTGTAGTTCGAAACGAAACTGCCCAGGGTCAGACCTCAAACGCCCGCCCGCTTGTACAGTGCCATCGGATGGTGCTGCGGATCACATGAGGCCCCGCGATTGCTTTACTGTCGAGATTCAACAACTGTTCGTGGCAAAGCCTCCTGTGCAAGTATCATCAAAACGGAATGCTAGGGGCACCATTGTATCTTCAGTGCAAGTCAGGTGGAACGCCATCTTCGATTCAGGTGTTGTCCCTGATGCTGGCGTGAGCAGAATCTGGAACCCCGTGATTAACCAGTATAGTGGACGGAGCTTTCTGGACATACTTCGGGAACATTCGGAAGCAATGAACATTCAGCCAGGGAAGGCCCCAGAGTGCTATTGGGTGCCGTTTCCAGTTCTCAGGATGATCGAAATGGGTTTGTGGAAAACGTTGATTGTGAGCGCGTCGTGGGATAGTGCGTTGCCAGCTCAACTTGGCTGGCCAAGCGATGAGTGGCGGCTGTCTCTTGGTGCGCGTCTGGGTATGCGAATGCCTACAGTTCAAGTTGAAACTACAAATCTCGATGTGCGAAAATTGCAGGCCCTTGTAAGTTTGCTCCGCCGGTGCTGGTCAAACATCCCCTCAAGAGGTCAGGCCGTTGGCGACAATTTGGGCTTTCAGCTAGAGCGCACTGTTCTTCGGCTGGACGCAACTATCGAACACCTGCTGCGAGAACGAGTGGGCGCTGCATATGCGGACAGAGGTTCGTTCAAGTGGGAAGGTCATCATCTTTTGAAGGCCGTGGTTGCAGCCTCTGCATTGGGCCATCGCAGTCGCCTCAAGACTTCGGTGGATGTTTGCATTGACCTAGCTGTCCCGCGCACAATGGCTGAGATGTGCAAGGAGAGATACAAACGCCTCACAAAATTGATCCCACCAGCTCCCACTATTTCAAGATCGCAGTTTCAGGTCGACGCGGCCTACATGCTGACGGTCGCGCACCAGCGGCAGCAGGCAACCACGTGCAAGTTCAGACATTTTATGGCAGATTCTTCTCCTCAAGCAGGCGAAAGGCTAGACTCCAAATGTAAATTCGTTTAACGTTGACGCCAGAAGCATAACCCTTTGCCATCACTCCGAGTCCTCATCCATTCGTGCTTTGATCCATCCATTCGTCCTCCACCCCCAACCTCGTGCCAATGCTGCTCTTGCTCCGCCTTCCCATCGGTGCCATCTCTCTTCTCTTGGGGCTGGGCCTGGAGGATGGTTGGCCCATTTAGCATCCAGGCATCTCGCCTCGCTTAACCTCCGACTCTGATAAGGCCCCCCATTGCTTTCTCGCAGTGCTTGCTCCACTCCCCCCAGGTGAAGATTGGCTGGTCTCGAGCTGCCTCGAGGTCAGCGCCGGCGAGGTCGCGGGCCTTCTCCGCAACGCGCACAGTCTCCAGCTATCAGCGTGCAGGTGGCTAGCAGCATTCGCAGATGGACGGTCAGAGGAACGCGATCCCGATGACGATACTTTGCAATCCATTGCGCAGGCTCGCCAACATGCTGGCAGAAGGTTGGTCAATTGCATGCAGATTCACAAGCAGATTCCCATTGCACTTGGCAGTAAGGCGTCCGGGCTGGAGCATAAGACACATGCGATATTGCATGCACTTATGATGGAGACGGTTGGGATGGATCACCTGCAGAGGGAGGCCGACACGATCGCATCTTTTACTACAGATATGGGAGTCGAATTTGGCATAGCCGACGCTGAGGGTGGCTCCATAGATGTGTATTTCCCGAGCTGGGTGCGTCAAAGACTCCAGCCTGATTCGATGGATGAGTCCAACTTTGGCTCCAGCGTGCCGACTGTGTGGCGGCCAATTCCAGAGATGCGGAACTTTCCAATGCCAAATGCGTTTGTTGTCCCAGGTATGCTCCATATTCTCGACAACTTGGAACACAGCATGGACAATACCCTATGCAATTTCAAAGATTGGCTTCCAGGGTTGCAAGCAATCACCACTCTACTGGGCGAGAAACACCACAGAGAACTATTCGTTGAAAAGTGCATCCGGTCCCGCCCAGAATTTCGGCACTTCGAAGACTTGTTCAAAACCGACATGCACACCACCAAGAAATGGCGATGGGGTGCTGTAGTCGACGTGCTGAATGATCTCATGAGAGTGATGGGGGCCTTGTCTGCGGCGTGGTGCCAGTCTCGATTCCTATCCGGACCGGGGCTGTCAATGTCGGATGTGGGAGGGGGGTCAGGGCCAAAGGCCGCAGAGAGCCTCGGGGGCAATGTGAGGGCAACGGGGCCACGAGAAAACTCAACCACAAGGCACCGATGGGGGGCCGTGGGGCCGAGGGGGACCGTGGGACCGAGGGGCCAAACTGGTTTTGATTGGCCGTGGGACCGAGGGGGAGGGGAAAAGTTGTTTTCTGTGGCTTTCGGCCCTGGCCCTCCCAGGAAGCGCCGAGGAGGTGAGGGCCGACGAGGACCTGAACCCAGATATCATTACTCGCACAGTCAATAGCTCCTACTGGTGGGCATATGCGGCCATGCTTCGAAACATCCATGGGATTGTACGGGATCTGCGAACCTGGTCAGAGGGATGTACTTGCCATGACTGGCTCCACTGGAAAGCAAACGCAGATGCTGCTGAGGAGCTTAAGCAATGCAATGCCCATACGTCCCAGAACGATACTTTCGATGGTGTTCGCTTCCAATGCCCTCTGAAAAGCTTGAGGGCCCCTGAATTGGCATCTGAATCGGGGCCCGATGGTCGAATAGGCTCCCTCATGGAGGAGATCTGTTCGAGAAGGTTAGCTTACATTCTTGGACCATGCGCGGGCCTGTCGCCAGAAGATCGGGGAAAAGTTCTGTCCGATTTCACATTGGGTAAGGCTGCAATGCGACACGAGCTCGTGACGAAGATGAGGCACTGGGAAGTCTTACCATGGAAACTCATTGGCCTGGCTCACCATCTGCCCGCTAAGGCAAAAGCAGTTGCACGAGAAGCGATAACCATGTTCGACACTTCTCCGCAAGACCCTGCTCTTCACCATAGGCTTACACTGGCATTCTTGAGGCCGGGCTCCGCTCTGCGATCTCAATTGGAACAATTTGCACACTCTTCGGCCAAGCTCGACGAGCTACCCGATCTACTGCAACGGGTAGCGCCGCTCGCTTTCATCGCAGTGGCAGAGCGGAGAGGAGAGGGGGACCATTCCATCATCGC